GGTCTTTCTGGAGCACGGGTTTTCATAAGGAGGAAAATAATCTGGTCAAACTCAGGAGCTATGTCTGCAGAGCTCAAGGGGGCTGAAGTGTGGGGGGACCACCCACATCCTCAGAGCTGGGGACAGCTGTGCCAGGACACCCTGTCCACTTGTCCCTTCTACAAAAAGTTTGCACCTCCCCAGGTACCAGCCTGGTCTCATTGAGCAGTCCAGAAAACTTCTCCAGTGTTTTTTCCTCTCACTTAAAAAGCAGGCCCTTCGGAACTACAAAGAACCAGAGGTGACCTCCGCCCCTCCTAAAGGCTCGGCCACGGAGGTGAGTTGGCTCCCACGATGACACTTGGGACTGCCGGAAGGGCTCCAATGGGGACAATCTGGTTAAACAAGCCCCCCAGCCTGCATTCTCTCTTCTTACACACATGCTCACATCTCAGAGTGGACATCCCAACTATGCAAATCCTCTACACAACGCCAATCTTTGCCCAGACGCAGGGAACCTCATCTGTCTGCGTCACCCCCAACCAACACCTCATGGAGCTAACTTGCAAGTATGACCTGCTCCTTCTCCCTGGGAACTCGCGGCTGGCCGGCAAAGGGTCACTTGCGAGCCAAATCAAAGGACCCTTACCTTCCCCTGAGGCGCTCAGTTGAGAACCCCTGGTGGGAAAGCTTTGGGGGGTCACGGAGATGCCCAGAGCAGGGAAGCCTGCACGAGCCAGCACGTCCCATCCTAGGCCACAGGAAAGTTTGTCATGTACCCGGGCTGGCTTGCCGCAGCTTCGGGGTCCCTCTCGGGAGTCTGGGCGCGGAGCCCGGGCTGCGGGAAAGCGGCGGGGAGCGAAGCTCCGCCTGGGGGCCTGGGGACAGGAACGCGGGCGCAGCAGCCGGGCCCGCTTCCTCCCGAGCCTCCAGCTGGTCGGGGCCCCCGAGTCCTTACCTGAGGAGTCCCGGCCGCTCGCAAACTCTGCGGCGAGCTGTGCCGGCGCCCGCCCGGTCCGGCGTGGCTCGGGGCGCCCGCGCGTGGGCGCCGTCCCGGCCGGGCTGCTGCAGTGCACCGCGGGGAGCGCAGCCGGATCCCCCCGGCCGGCCAGCAAGCCTCCCCGGCCGGCCCCGAGCTACCTGCCCCCGGCCGCCGCCGGGCGCATCCTCCGCCGCGGGAAAGTGCAGAGCGTGCGCCCGGATTGCAGCAGCCTCAGCGCCGGCCGGGGACGAGGAGGCGGTGGCGACGCCAGCCGGCGAGCCGGGGAGGCGGGCGCAGCAGAGGAAGTGCGCGCCCGACCGCGCGAGCCTGCAAGGCGGGCGGCACTGCGGTGCCCCGCGCCACCGCGAGGCCCGCGCAGGACCCGCCCGGGGACGCCCGGCCGCCACGCCGGATGCGGCCGCCGGCCTGTGGCGCGCTGCCTCCCCGCCGCCTCGCTGGCCGCCCGGGACTTCGCGTCTCCAGCCCCAGCTCCCCGCGCCGCCGCGAGCAGCGCGCTGAAGCCCCGCGCGCTTCTCGCCGGAGCCACGGCGCTGCCTCTCGCTTAACTCCTTGAGTGCCACCTGGTTCTCCCCCAGTCTCCCGTGGAGACCGGCAGACTGGGCCTGGCTGCTGCGGAGCTCAGGCGGACGCCACAGCCCCGGGCCTCAGTCTCCTCGTCTGTAAAATGGGCTCGAGATCCATGTCGTAGGGTGGTTGGTAAAATTAACTGAAATGATTATGCAAAGGACTAAGGCGCCTGACACTGAGTTATTACCTCATGAATAGCAGAAGGTTTGCTGCTGCCACTGCTCAGAGGTTTGGCACGTGGCACCTTGCAGTTGGACTCGGTCTCTTGTCTGTCTGTCTGTCTGTCTATCTGTCTGTCTATCTCTCTCTCTCTGTCTCTCTCTGTCTCCAAGCTTTGTGATCTTGGGCAAGTCACAGGAGGAGCTCTGAACCTCTGAACCTCTGAACCTCTGTGTCTTCACCTGCAAAATATGTCTGGCAATGTCCCAAGTCAAAGGGTTCCTGGTGTCTCCTAGTAACAAAAGCAGAGACACTTTTTTTTCTTGACCTGGTTGGTAGCTACACAGGTGTTTGTGTTAAGTCACTAGACTGTAAGTTTACATACCAAGCACACTTCTGTACATGTGTTAAATTTTAACTTCTGAAAAATCTGGGATTTGGTTTTGTTTTTCAGTGCTGGGGTTCAAACCCAGGGCCTTGGACATGCTGGGCAAACCAAGCTACACCTTCAGTTCCTGAATTTTGTTTTTTTGAATGATGAAAAAGAAAATTTTTTTTTGAGTGACAAATCCTGAACCATCAGAACTGGGCTGAGGTTCAGGCTCAGCTATACTTTCCGGCTGTGTGATTATCATCAGGTTATCTCCCTGAACCTCAGTTTCCTCATCCACAAAATGGGAGACAAAATGACAGATTCAACCTGGGGCCTACACTCAACCACTGTCAGCGTCATGATCACAGTCTTACAGTGTCACCTACATCCCAGAGGAAGGAGGGTGGCCGAGAAATACCTGGCAGGCAGGGTGCGAACCTCAGAAAGAGCTCAGGGAGAGTGCAGGCTGCCGGATTCCATTTTTAGTATGGAGGCAGGAGGTAGAGAAGAGAAATTCCTGGAAGGAGTGGCCTGGAGGCCAAAGGGAAAGGGAAGAAGCTGCTCTCCAAAACCCACAGAGTGACAGCTAGACCACAGCTGGGCCAAACAACAGAGTGTCTGTCCATACTGTAGGCTTCTGGGGGGACCCAAGGAAAGTTTTCTAAAAACCACAAAGAGTGCCCACTTTTAATGATTAAGCCATGCCTGGGGACACACGTGCTGCAGAATATCCTAGACAACGGAAAGTGACCCTGACTCAGGGAACTGTAATCTCAGTGAACTCATTGTAATCTTATTGGTATCTGGGTTAAGAAACTCCCACCAAGGGCTTTGGAGGCCACGACAGCTCCTCAAAGTTGTGTATAGGGACAAAAATTCCCCCTTTCCACAGAAAGGAGACTCGTCCCTGATCGGAGCGAATTGCTGTCCCAGTTCGCAGAGCCCTCCCTCGCCATGAAACCCACAGCGCTCTGACGCCTGGCTGGCTTCTTCCGGGCTGTGAGCTGCCTTCCCTGGTCCCCTGCCACCCTGCAGAGTGAACCCTAACAAATCTATGCTTTCATTGCTACTTCTGTGTACCCTGCTCAATTCCTTGTTCAGGATACCAAGAACCTAAGACAGTCACAGCCCTCACCAACAGTACGGATCTGAAATTTGACATGGGACAGACGTATCATTTCTCTTTCCTCATTTACCTGGAATTCAAATAGAACCGGGTGGCCCATCTTTGTATGTACTAAATCTTGCCATCCTGACCCCATGGCTATTAGCTCTGTACCCTGGGGGAAGCTGCTCAACACCCCAGACCTAATTTGTTAAATGGAAATGAAGGGTCCTTCTGATAGTGACCAAAAAAATGAAGCTGATCAAGGTAAGTGAGAGGTGTTCCCAGCATGTAGTAAGTGCTTCTAACTTGTTCTTTATAGTTCTCACCATCTCCCTTTTTTTCTGTTCTTATGCATTTTCTTTGCGTGCATCTTGGAGTTTGCAGGGTTCCCAACAGTCTTGGGTAGCTCCGTTGCTGGTCCTGGAAACTAACAGATTGTGATTGGCTGTAACAGGTAAGCAGTGAAGTGGTAACATACGCACCTTCAGTCAATGAATCAGTTTTGGCAGGAAGGAATGATATCTGGGTCTTTTAGCCCCAACCGCAGACAAATTATAATTCTGGGGGGGAGCCTGCCCTGCTCCCGGCTTACCAGCCAGTGCTGGTGTCTCAGGTTCCTGACAATGGTCTCATCCTCTCTCCAGCCTTCTGTATCAGCTCAGAATCTTACTATTTCTGGCCACATTCTGCTGCAGGACTCCTGGCAACAGGAAAAACAAAGCAATCTTTAAAATAAATTATAAAGATCAAGGCGGAGTGATGGAAGAGAGTTTCCAAACACAAAGTCAGGTAACACGTTTAAGCTTTGTTCAAAAAAAAAAAAAAAAAAAGCGAGCCATATATCACTGTCATTTGAACTACAGCGTCTAAAAATAGGATTTGCTCTAATTTCCTGAGTAACTGAAGCAAAAGAAGAGACTGTGTAGGTAGTGAGCAGCCTGCATCTGGGAGTAAGTAACTTCTCTTTGACAGTGCTCTTCTCCTTGGTGAGGAGGAAACTCACTTCCAGAGCTGCCAGGAAAATTGTGGCAAAGAGAAATACTCGGGAGCCCCAGCTATACCTTGTGCTGCCAGGACACTGTTGAGTACATTGTTTACCCTCTCTGAATCTTGTCTTTAAAAAAACAATAGAGATAACTGTAGATCTAAGCTGATGAGGGCTTCACACAGCATGAGCAGAAGGCATCTGTATACCACGCATATGAGTCATGACCTAGTATCATACCGATCTCAAATGGACAGGCTACCCCCAAGGCAGAGGGAAGATGTGGTCTACTCAGGACAGCAGAGAGAATTCTAGTCCCAGAACTAAAGCAGATGTGGGCTTCCCAGTTAGATGAAGTTTTTTTCAGGCACTAAACATCTGACTCACACATCACTGTCACTGTGCGGAAGAGAGAATCCATCAGATCATGGTCTGAGGTGCAGGGGAACTGTGCAGAAGGCCCCTGACTTGCAAGGAGCTGCCCGCACTGCCCACACTAACCAGCCACTCTCCGCCACCGTGCTGGCCACTTCCTCTGCGAAGTGTGCTGTTGCACCTGCCCTCGGTGCAGAGCCCAATTTGAGCTTTTATCACTGCACCATCTGATGGTGCTAGGGGTTGGTCCTGCAGGCCAATTCCTACAGGCAAAAGCTGAGTCTTAGAACCAGTTCTGTGTCCCCAGCATCCAACAAGGGCTTGGTGATGCACAGGAAGAAACTGATGAATGAGTTAAATCGCCCGGTTTTATCAAGGATGTATGCAGTGAAAAAGAGAAATCCTTATCTCCATCTGTTCAAGCTGCTCTAACAAAATACCATAAACTGGCTGGTTTATAAATATTTGAAATTTATTTCTCACAGTTCTGGAAGCCAGCAGCTGAAGGTCAAGGTGTAGCAAACTCAGACTCTAGGAGGGGTCTGTTTTCTGGGTCAGAAAGGCTCCTCGCCACCGAGGTCTCTGGGCTCTGAAGAGGTCGATGATTTTAATCACGAGGCTTCACCCTCCTGATCTAGTCACCTCCCAGCAGCTCCACCTCCGAAGACGTTCACCTTGAGGGGCACAATTCCAGCTTACAGATTCAGGGGACGGACTCAGGCCACAGCACCTAGCATGATGAAAAGAGTTCACCCGTCAAAATTTGGTACACAAGCGTGAAGACCTCCTACCTCAGCACTTTGTAATGATGGAAAACTGGAAAGAACCGAAATGCCCATCAATAAGAGACTGGGATAGATCAATTCTTAAAGGGCGGCAGTGAAAGTTAATGATCTAGAACTCTATGCATCATCCTGGATAGATCTCAAGCATTATGGTGAGTTTTTAATGTGGAGTCTGGAGTGGGGGAAGCTACTCACAAAAGGACGTACAGGATAACACCACTTACTATGATGCGAAAACCTGCAAAGCCATTCAGGATGTTTTTATGAATATATAAAGAGTTGCAGGAGGGTTAAGTGTGTTTTTGGTGTTCTGTTTCTCATACAGTTCCGTGGATACATTGTATTGTTCTCTGCATGTTTTTACATGCCTGAAATAGTTCTTTAGAGGAAAAAGCAAGAGACAGCAGTTAGACATGAAGGCTAAGATGAAACCAGCCTCCTTCCCACCCCTGTTCTGGGAGTCTCTAGAGACTGTGCATCCTGTAGGAGGGATTTAACCTCTCTGAGCTTCAATTTGCTCAACTTTGCTGTTCTTACAACATTGCATCTTTGAAGAATTAAATGAGATAATGTGTAGAAACCTTTCAAAGCAACACAGGCATTTAACACACGATGACTGTTCATATCATAGTAATTCTCAACACCAGTCAATCGCAAATGATCTCAGGACTGGAAACATCTGATTAAATCACACATTTCTAGTTGCTGTTTTGTAGGTGCAAATCGTGAAACCCTGAGCCTGGACAGGATGAGTAAATTCTGTCCAAGGACTAATAGCCCAGGCTGGCCTTGAGATCTTGACAATCCTCCTGCCTCAGCTTCCTAAGTGCTGGAACTACAGGTGCGTACTGTCACACCAGGCTATTTAGAAGGCCCCTGGGCTAAGGTGCTGAGAGGGGCCTCCCTTCAAAGATGCGTCCCTCAAAACCTGCCGAAACCTCTACTTCCTTCCACAGAACCAGAGCTGGTCTCATGGGGGCTGACAACTGGGACACATACCAGTGGCTGGGGGACACATACTATATTACTAATTTTACCCAAACTGTGTCCCTCCTCTTCCCTAATTCTAAAGCATATTTATATCACCATGAAAAAGACTAAGAGTCATCATGTTGTAAGGTCATCCTTTTCTAACTTAACTTTTCAGTTATCTGGAAATCTGATACTTAGCACAAATGTCTTGACACAAATACACTTACTAAGGTGCACTCTTTATGATAGCCCCAAACTGGAAGTAGCCTGAATGGAAGGAAGGGTAAGCCATATGGTACCCATTCAAAGGAACACTATGCAGTAGTGAGAACAAATGTACTGTGGCCACCACGACCCCATGGATAAGTCACAAATACAATGTTCAAGAAAAAGAAGCCAGACCCAGAGCAGTGCATGTGATCTGCTGCTATTTCTATAAATTTCAAAACTATCCAGGCTGCTCATGGGCCAAGGAAAGATTATACCTGAGCAAAGGTTTGGTGGGAAAGACAAGGAAAAATTAGGGGTGTTGATAATGTTCTGTAATTACTCTGCGTGCTGGTTATGTGGAAATGCTCTTTCTGAATATAAATTGATCTATATTGTTTGTACAGCTGTTAGACTTTATTAAAAAAATCAGCAAATTCCAGTTTTTAACGTTTAGCGGTCATAGATGCCTAATGCCCATGCTGGATCAGCCACAGAAAAGTTAGGTGGAAGGCTCTAATGAGCCTCCCCTCCTAAGTCTTGGCCTTGAACAGACTGGCTGAATCCAGTTTCCATTCCAGGTTTGCTGAAAAGGGAATTGTCTAGGTAGAGCCAGGCCAGGTGGGGACGGGGCCATTACTCAGGACATATGATCCAGAAAGACGGGCAAACCAACCAAATTATCTGATCTGGCAGATCGGCAGGATCAAATGTCCCAGATAATGGTCAACCTGCCATAGTGACACCACATACTGTGGCCAAAATACCTTCAAGGTAGACCGGTTTGGCTGGGGCCATGTCGATGGGCAGAGAGAACAGAAGCCTCTGTCTCCCCTGGGTCTGATTGATTTCAGCAAGAGGAGCCCTGGGAGTGTCTATAGGGGCCACAGGAAAGTAGGGCAGTGCTAAACCTAGAGGGGCTCCAGGAAGCCCCCCACTTCTGCCACTCCTGCCCTGGGGTGCTCCCAGGCCACAGTCCTGAGCTCCAAAACATAGATGGTCTCACTTGATTTGCACTTAGCATCAGGAACACTGTTTTGCAAAAGAGGAAACTCAGGCTCGGAGTGGTTGAACGAGCCACCCAAGAAAGTGGTGGGATCCCTAATATTTTAGCTGATGCCACCAAGCCACACATTTCCTCCGCAGGAGGGCTCTTCCCCAGCTTCCTCTTCCATACTCATGTGGCCGGTTCAGGGGAGCCTCTCCTCTCTGTGGGGTGCTCCACAGTCCAGCCCTTGGCAAAACAGGCACCAGGTGTAGCTAGAAAGCGTGACAGATATTGGAAGAAAGCACTGTGGACACTGAAGAGAGAAGCAGCGGTAGGGAATAGGGACAGACTTTGGGGAAGGGGTGGGGAGAAGGAAGGGAGGGAGGGAGAGAGGGCGGGAGAAAGGAGACCGTAGCGAGAGCCCCCCGGATTTGCAGTGTGGCTCTGGGCCAGTCTCATCAGCCCCATGAGAACCCCTGAGCAAAGATTATCCTTCTGCTGAGTTCCATTGAGGCAGGAGTGGCCCAGCCTGACAGTGTTCTGTGGATCATAGGATCAGCCAGAGATTTTTGAGCATCAGTTTATTCGATAAGTTGGTTATGGGGCCGGCAGGGAATGGAGTGTCTCTTAAGAGCACCTATTATAATTATTTATTGCATGCCTATCTGTCCCCCTGGATTCTAAACTGCAAAGGGGAGGATTATCCTGTCCAAAAAAGCAAGCCCGGAATATAGTAAATGGTCATTATTTATGGGCTGACAGGTTCCGCTGACTAGTTCCTCTGTATCCGTTTGGTGATTGCCACACATTTCCTGAATATGTTCCATAGAGTATATTTTACTGGCTTGAAGTAAGGACCAGATGTAGGGTCTGGATTCGAATCTTAAACCCAGATCTTTCTAACTCTATGATCTTAGGTGAGTCATCTTAGCTCTTTGAGCTTCTCTCTCTCTATAAATGAGACTCTGTTATAACAGTATTTGGTCATCATTATGGATGGAGGGTTACTTTAGTGTTTGTGATTATTCAGTGCACGGAGAAGCAATGAAGTGCATCATTACACCCATGGAGACATCATGACCCGCATTCCTTGGTGCACCTTTTATTGGGTCTGTTTTTTGTCATCATCTGCTGTGTCCCGTTGTCTGTCCCCCAAGCCTCCTCTTGGAGGCAGGGTCCATGGCCTACTGGTCTCTGTGCTGCCAGCATTATACAAGGGAGTCACACATCGTAGGGATCCAATACGTGCAGGCCCTGACCCTAAACTAAGGCTTCGGCCACAAGTCCCGTGTGCTTATTCATTTAATCCCTAATGTGAGTGGTCCTGTTTCCATTCTGGAAATGGAGAACCTGAGGTTCAGAGAGATTTTCTCAAACTTTCAGAATTTGATGATTTCAGGGGCTAGGTCATCCTGGCTCCACATGGACTTTTCCAGGGGGACACATGGCCATCAGGCCTGGCTAACAGGTCCATCCCCAAAGACAGCACAATGCCCTCAGTCTCTCTGGAGATGCCAGGCTGGCCTCTGGGGAAATGCTCTTAGAAATCAGCCTCTTCCAGTGTACTCTAATTTAGATACCTCAGGTCTCTGGGGAGCAGAGAGAGCCACAGGCTCCTGGACCGGAGGATTTTTACCTTGGAATTGGCAGGAGTCGGCCTGACCTGGTTACAGAACTGCTCCAACAAGCATCTGTCTTTTGAATGTCATTTTCTCCTATGTCTTCCCTATTTGAACTTTTTCCAAGTAAATACACTCATGAAGCACAGCCCACACCTAAACACTGTGATACCGGCTGAGCTCTAACATCTCGGAGGCCTGGAGTCTACAGGTCTGGGGCCCACGTGCTCATTTTGGCCTTGTGATCTCACTATTTCTGAGCAGGGCAGGTATTTGTTCCCCATTTTCCAGATGGGGATACTAAGGCTCAGGAAAGCTAAGTCACCTGCCCAATGGCACAGGGCTGGAAATGGTGCTGCTGAGGCCTGGATCCAGCTTGGCCAAGGTCTGAGCCTGAGATAAGGAACACACAGGCAGCCGGGAGGCGGGTGTCCTTGAGGCAGGAGCTCCTTAAGGATGCAGGAGACAGGACTGTCCTTGTGGCTCTGCCTCCCCTCCCTGGGCCTCCAGAGCCAAGGACAGCAGTGCTGTCGAACACACATAGCTCTGGCCTCACCACGACCCAGCCGCCTCCTGGCACTCACAGCAGACCACCCATCCTCCTGCTCTCAGTGCCAGGAGAAATCTGGCCTTAAGTCCACTTCCGGCTCCATTTCCACCACCCCCTCCACCCTCCATTGCAGATTCCCTGTCCTCCTCCAAATGCTTGATGCGGTCACCACCTGGCCTTTGCATATGCCGTTTCCTCTCCTTGGAACATTCTTCCCTTCCTCCCTTTCATTTCTCTGCCCAACAAAATCTGCTCAGCCAGCTTTTTCACATGTTGCCTTTCTTCGGGATGCTGTGGTTTCTAGAACCCCCACAGCTTCACTAACAAAACAAGGCTGGGGAAACTAGAGAAAAACCAGTTTGCCCAAGAGAATCTTATTATCCTCATGCTTTTTGACATGATCAGACAGGACAACTCCATATCTCTGATTTAGTTCAAAGAAATACATCTCAACATCCGTTTACATAAACTGGACCCTTGCCCTTAACACAAATTTATTGTTCTATTTTCCAGAAGAACATATCTCATCTTGTAGGAAATGTTCCTCCTCATTCCAGCCTGTGTATCAAGAAGACGCCATCCCTGATGTCCTTGAGTCCTTGAGCCAAACTGGTCCCGTTTTAGACTGTCGTGATTTGACCGCAGTGATTGGGCCACAAGTTGGCCCACATGACCCAGGCTCAGCCAATCAGAGAACTTCCTTGGGGATTTTCTAATTGGTGTTTGTAGGAAGCAGCTCTAGTTCCTAATTTCCATGAAATTCAGTTTGAAGGGTCCAAGCTACTTGGGAATTTGCTTAGATCCCAGAAGGATGAAGCAATGTGCAAACAAATGATACAGTAAGTTGGTGAGTAGTTCCTGAAACTTAGCTGCACATTCTGATTGAGTCAAAGAACCAATTGGTAGGTCTCTGGCAGTGCAAGTTCAAGGTGCTTTTGGAGACCTAAAAGTCTAGCATTCTCACAAACATGTTTTAAAAACCCTTCCCCAGTTATATCACACCACAATGTTATCAGTAAGTATTTATTGAGTTCCAACGTGGACCAGGATCTCTGCTAAGTAATGGAAACACAGAAGTGACCCAAAAATGTGACCCCTGACCACACAGAGCTTACAGACTGGAGCTGTGCTTCCAGTGCAAATAGCCACAGGTCACAGGTAGCTGTTTAAATTTAAAATAATTAAATTTAAGTAAAATTTCAGATTTAGCCACGAAAACAAGTCTTTCAATTAAAAATGGGAAAAGCTTTAAATAAACATTTCCTAAAAGCAGAAATGCAGATGGCCATGAAGTATAAGAAAAGATGCTCACTATCGTTAACAAAGAAAGAAATGCACATTAAAACCACAATGAGAATCATCTCTTACCTGTTCGGATGGCTGCCATCAGAAAGACAAAGAATAGCTGTTAGTGAGGAGGGGGGAAAAAAGGGAGCCCTTGCATACTACAGATGGGGACGCAATTTAGTGTGGGCACGAAGGAAACCAGTATGGAGGACTCCTCAAAAAGATTAAAAATAGATCTCCTGTGAGATCCAGCAATCCCGCTTCTGGGTCTGCATCCAGAAATGAAATCAGGGTCTTAAAGGGACGTCTACACTCCCACATTCACCGCAGCGCTGTGCACTATAGACCAGGTAAGGAATCCACACAAGGGTTCCTCTGTGGTTGAAAGGCAGTGTGATAGAGATGCACACCCGATGCACACACGCGCTCAGCGTTTACAAGGAAGGAAATGCCATTGTCAACAGCATGAGTGAACCTGAAGGATACTAAGCTAAGGGAAATAAGCCAGAGATGGAAAGTTGGGTACTGCCTGACTCACTTCTAAGTGGAATCTAAACCAACCCAGCTCAGTGAGCAGAAAGTAGAGGTTCCCAGAGGTAGGTGGGTGGGGGTATAGAGAGCTAACGGTCAAAAGATACAAAACTTCAGATTCACAAGATAATTAAATTTCTGTACAGTATGGTGACTATAGTTAATTATACCACAAATATATGCAAATGAAGATTTGAAAAATAAAATATACTGGATCATATACTTCACAAAGGATATGTTAATTACCTTGATCATGGTAATCATTTATAATGTATGCATATAAAACATCACGCTATTCGCTTTAAATATGTGCAGTTTTTATTTGCCAATAATACCTCAATAAAGCTGGAAACAAAAAACATTTTTCTTAAGACATCTGAGGATCTTTTGGGTATGGTGATACACAACTTCTGACCTCAGAACTCTTGAATCCTGAGGCAGAAGAATCGTAAATTCAAGCCTAGCCTTGGAAACTTAGTAAAACTGTGTCTCAAACTAAAAAATAAAAACAGCTTGGGATGTAGCTCAAGGTGAAGGTCCTAGGTTCAGCTCACAGAATCATAAATAAATAATAAATCTCAGGGTCCTCTGTGTCCTTTTCTGATTCTTAACTCGTTTTTGCTTTTTTAAGGGAAAATGTAGCTCATCGCTGAAAGTTACTTGAAAGTTACTGTCCAAGTCTATAGAGAACTCTAGAATATTTGTATGCATGGATATGGAAAATATAAATATGCATATATATGCATGTATTCCTTTCTGTTCCATGTTTATTTCAAAGGTTTGGTAAGCCTTCCAATGCCAATTTCTAAGCTTGAGTTTCTAAAATATGAAATATCCTATCTCAGATATTGTATACTCTTGAGATCTCTTGCAAGAACCTAGGGCTTGGTCTTCAAAGTACTTTTGAAATAAAGCATTTCTTAAAAACAAATAAAAATAAAAAACCCCCATCTTTTAGTCTGCCTTACCACATTTCAAATACTTCAAAGCCCATGAGGCATGGCTACAGAACATAGCTGTCAGTGTGGAACAGGCTATAAAATTTTGCCTTGACTACAGTCTGGCTGCCAAACTGTCATGCTGGCACTCTGGGAGGCTGAGGCAGGAGGATCACAAGTTCTAGGGCAGCCTGGGAGATTTAACAACAAAGTGAGACCATCTCAAAATACAATATGATATGACACGGTAACATATGACACAATGTGATATGATATAACAAAACGTGCTGGGGATGTAGCTCAGCACAAAGGCCCTGGGTTCAATCTCTAGTACTGAAAAAATAAATAAAAATATGATCTTAGGCCATCAGTATCCACTTAGCATGAGAGAACTTGTTGGAAATGCCAAATTTCAAATTCCAACCAGACTGTGCATCCGAACCAGCGTCTAAGTGAGATTCCCAGGCGATTCTTGTGCACATTAAAGCTTGAGAAACTTTGTCCTGTTGGCCACTACTACTTTAGTCCATAGCTTAATCACGTCCCAGCCCTCCTTTCCTGCCAGCAGAGAGAGTTCCACCTTGACAAGGTCTCACACACACTCACCTGGTTGCCACAAAATAAACTCTAGGGGTGCTGTCTCTAAGCAAAGACTTCAAGCAGTAACCCCAGGCTTCAGCAGGGTGAGCCCCTCAGGCATGGTGCCTGGCTGATAAGTAGGGTCAGCATTAAAGACCACTGGACTGGTGTTGGGGCTGGTGCCCACACCATACCTGATGCATTTTTTTTCAGAGCAAAACCACTGCAGACTGCTAAGGGAGCAAGTGTTCGTGCTGTGTCGTGTTTTTAATTTTCTGAAAGCAGGAAGGAGATCTCACTGTGGAGCAGACGGGTTCGCCCGTTCCCATACTCTGTTCTCTGTGGGTTTCCAGGTGTTCCATCAAGCCAGCCTACTTGAGAGGCCCACGGGCTCTTTGAAAACCTTTATACACATGCACTTATGTGCACGTGCACACGCATAGACACACACACACACACACACACTTTCAGCTAATTGATAGCACTGGACCATAACCGAGCAAAAAGGAGCCACATTTAAATTGCAGATTGTGACCTTTATGCTTGAAATGGGTTCAAACATCCTGTTTATAGCTTTGGGGTTCTGCCACTCAATAATCCTCCAAATTATTTTCCTTTCTTTTTTTTTTCCAAATGACTATTATTATGCATTACATTCCCCCAATCTCGGAGCCTCATCCCTAGTTGGTCTCTCCAGAGCTCATAGGTAATTTGAAAATGCCTGTAGCAGTGAGCACTTTTTGCTTTGGTGTTGCTACTTGATGCTCCTACTTAGCATCAACTGCAGAACTGGTCAAGGAAAGCTTGGCCCTGTCCACTCAGGACCTAGCAAGAAAGGTTAAAGACATGTGGAGGGGTTGAGGGCAGAGGCAGAGAAAGGACTTCTGCTCCTAGCTGTAATTTTAAAACCTGTGTACAGGTTAGTGTGCCTTGAAGTCTTAATAAATTACAAGACATGTGACCCTTCAGAGTTAAGGAAGCATTACGGGGTAACCCTAGTTCAGGCAGGGGTGAACAGTTTCACTAATGCAGGCCTTCTCAGGGCCTTCAAATGCGAGGGTGCATGGAGCACTCTGGTCTGGGGTGGAGGACTCTCTGTTCTGTCATGAAGTTTCCTGTTTATTGAATTTAGAGTCAGCTGCTCTTGGAGGGTCTCCCAGAACTGATGATCCACAGCCCATCTGGGAGACACTATGCACCCCCTTTGCTATCACAGAAAGACCCCCAAAGTACCCGGATGTCCCACCATGTCACACCTGCCATATCATACTGATCAAGTGAGTCACAGACCCACAGGATCTGACATAGCCACCGCTGTCACTGTGCAGGGCCATAGCTCCAGGTTCCCTCCACATTCCAGCCTTCCCGAGAGGAGGCCAAAGGCTCCCGTCCTCCCTCACTGAGCCTGTACCCGGGCAGGGCGGAGGATGTGCTTGTTCAGCCTTCCTCTCCCCTACCTTCCAGAAAGGAAACCTCCTTCCTTGGTGACACTAATGCGTTAATGTTTAGTAAGTGCTTTCTGTGAACCAGGCTCTAAGAAATGAACTTACTCATTTATCACCGAGAGCAGACTCATCACGGAGGGGTTGTGATCACCTCAAGGAACAACAACATTAAATCACCTATCCAGGGCTTCCCATACTGGATGAACACTTTAATTTTATTTCATGATTGTCAGAGCCAAGGTCTGAACACAGGACTCTTGACTCCAGGGCTCTCATCCATTCTGCTACCTCAGGGAAGGGCCTTTGTCTCCTCCCAGGTGGCAGTAAAAGCTGGGATCTGGTGCATCCATTTTCCTATAAGTGCCTCAGATTTGTCATTCTTCATAGCCAAGCAATATTCCATTGTGTGTAGATACCACATTTTGTTTATCCAATCATCTGTTGTTGGGTATAGAGGCCACTTCCAGGACTTCGCTGTTACTAACTGTGCTGCTATAAACATCATTTGGCAAGTATCTCTGTAGCATAATGGCTTGAGTGAGGCAGAGGAGGAGGGACGAGGTGGGGGGGAGAGGGTGGGAACAGGAAAAGAAGAGGATAAAATACAAGCCTATAGGCACATGGAGCCACTCGCCCAGGTGACTGCAAACTGCATGAATCCCAGACATGTAAGAATAAAATCAAGTAAACAAAACCAAAAAAAAGAAGCTGAGACTAAAAAGCCAAATCTCAATTGCATTTAGCTTTTCTAGAACTTCCAGAGCTGGAGTTTCAGCAAAGCTGGAGGGCGTCCTGCTTCCTGGCCGGGTTTGGAGGACATGCACCTTCCCTGTTCCTCTTTCCCTCTGTGGACCGCCCTGCCAGAACCGGAGATTCCAGCAGGAGAGGAAAAGTACAAGCCGGGCTGGGCCGCGCTCAGGGCTCTGCCTGCCAAGCTGGCCGTTTGCAGAGCCCCCTTCACTCCTGACCACCACTCTGGTGCGCCAGAGCCAGGGATCCCAGCCAAGGGGCTCACGGGGCCCACCCTGCATTCCCCACATTCCCTACTCTCTGGTGGAAAGAATTTCGAACCAAACTTGGCAAGCCAAGAAGGACTGTGGTCTGGCTGCACCTAGTGGAAGCTGTGATGCGGCCCTGGCTGCCGCAGTGCGCTGCTAAGAATAACCCGGCCACCTCCACGCCCACCGTGGAGGCTGCAGCCTTCTCCAAGGCTCTGTTTAAATCTGCTTTGGCAGCAGGGAATGAGACCTCGAGCCTTGTGCCCTGGGATGTGACCCACGTGTGAGGCCACAAAGGCATGGTACAAGGCACCCAGGAGATGCCCAGTAAGTGCCTGATGAATTAATATAAGTGAGAAGTAAATAAATAAATATGAGAATAGGCAGCACTGTATCTATCAATTACGAGCACTCAGGGGGTCTCCGGGACAGTACTGCCCCCAATTCCTGTTGTGCTGTTTTTTACTAGGTGGGTGATTTCACTGTTTGCACTTAAAGGCAGAGACAACGAAAGCTAAGCAGAATTAGGTAACCTGCCCGAGGCAGCGCTGAGTCTGAAGCCAGGGTGTTACAGAACCATTATAGAAACCTCTTCACTACGCGAGGGGCTGAGGATGCATGGATGGATGACGGGGAGAGAGGGATCAGCTGGCTCCGTAGCTCATGTGCAGTGACCCTTGTTTCCTCCCCGTGTGAGTTTGTTGATTTGTGTGTCGTTCCTGAGCTTCATGACAACCCATCAATAGAGAAGGATCCGATCTCTTTCCCTGTGAAGTTCTTGCCTTTGTCTCTCTGCCCCTCAGCCTGCCAGGCTGCTACGCTGACCGTCCCGGGGTCGTCATTGATACGGGGGCTGAAACAGGACGCCCTGCAGTACGAGCCCCAGGGAGAAGGTAACCCGTGTTGTGCAACAGGATGTCCTTGCACAGGATGTCCAAGGACACTAAATTACCCTCCTTTGCCACTCAGACCCGCACCCTCCCCGGAGATGGCATCCCTCCCTGGGGGAACTCCTACGTCCTGCTCACCTTTCTGGTTTTCTGTGGTGATTCACACCCACTCTGACCTTAATAAAGGTCCAAATATTGAGGCTAATATCCCTCA